CACGCCACCAGTCCTCTCCCTGCATTCTGACTGAAGCCCGAGCCTCAGCTCCCACCCCTGCCCGCCCCGGCGGGGGAGCAGACAAGCCTCTCAGGCTGGTGAGTGGTGGTCGGCACCGATCCTCTGTGCAGAAATCTCCCCGCTTTGCCCTCTGCACCCCTGTTGCTGCGCTCTCCTCCGCGGCTCAGAAGCTACCCCCCTCCGCCACCCGCAGTCTCCATGAAGGGGCTTCTCGTGTGTGGAAACCTTTCCTTCTTCACAGCTCCCTCCCAGAGGTGCAGGTCCCATCCCTATCCTTTGTCTCTGTTTTTTCTTTTTTCTTTTGCCCTACCCAGGTACGTGGGGAGTTTCTTGCCTTTTGGGAGGTCTGAGGTCTTCTGCCAGCGTTCAGTAGGTGTTCTGTAGGAGTTGTTCCACATATAGATGTATTTCCGATGTATCTGTGGGGAGGAAGGTGATCTCCATGTCTTACTCTTCTGCCATCTTCCCCCTCTCCCCCACTCTGTCTTTTGATTAGAGCATTCAGTCCATTGACATTTAAGGTAATTATTGATACATCTGTATTTATTGCCATTTTAAACCTTGTTTTCCAGTCGATTCTATGTTTTTTGTTTCTTTTTCTTTTTTATGGTTTGATGTTCGTTTTATGTTGGCGTTCTCTTCTTTTTGGCTTCTATGAATCTATTGTATGTTATTGATTTGTGGTTACCCTGTTTTTCAGGTATGTTGACTCCTATAACTGCTTGCTTTAGACTGATAGTTTTAGAATAGACATTGTAAGAAGAAAAAAATAATAATCTACATTTTCTTATTCTCCTTCCCCACATTTTGTGATTTTGATGTCCTTTTTTTACATCTTCATGTTTATCCTTTTGCTGTTCCTTATGTTTATCATTGCTTTCACAAATAGTGTATTTTTTCTTTTTGATTTGTAAACTGGCTTAAGTGATTTACTTTCCAATCGTGATTCCCTCTTTCCTATATCTTCTTGCTTCTTTTCTATTTAGGGAAGACCTTTCAATATTTCTTTTAAGATAGGTGTAGTATTGCTGTATTCTTTTAGTTTTTGCTTATCTGAGAAATTCTTTTTTTTTTTTTTTTTTTTTTTTTTTTTTATTTGGAAAATTTTTTTTTTTTTTTTTTTCTTTTTTTTTTTTTGCGGTACTCGGGCCTCTCACTGCTGTGGCCTCTCCCTTTGTGGAGCACAGGCTCCGGACGCGCAGGCTCAGCGGCCATGGCTCACGGGCTCAGCTGCTCCGCGGCATGTGGGATCTTCCGGACTGGGACACAAACCCGTTTCCCCTGCATTGGCAGGCGGACTCTCAACCACTGCGCCACCAGGGAAGCCCCCTTTTTTTTTTTTTTTTTTTTAATTTATTTTACTTTTATGGCTGCGTCAGGTCTTAGTTGTGGCATGCGGGATCTTTTGTTGTGGTGCACGGGCTCTTTGTTGCAGTGCACAGGCTTCTCTCTGGTTGTGGCGTGCAGGTTTTCTCTTCTCTAGTTGTGGTGCACAGGCTCCAGAGTGTGGGCTCTGTAGTTTGCAGCATGTGGGCTCTCTAGTTGAGGGGCGTGAACTCATTAGTTGTGGTGTGTGGGATTAATTGCCCCCGCAGCACGTGGGATCTTAGTTACCTGACCAGGGATTGGAACTTTGACCCCTGCATTGGAAGGCAGATTCTTTATACCACCAGGGAAGTCCCTGAGAAATTCTTTCTCTCCTCCTAAGTGCAGTCTTGCAGGGTAGAGTATTCTAGGTTGTGGATTTTTCCCTTTCAAGACTTTTAATATATTTTGCCACTCCCTTCTGGCCTGCAGTGTTTCTGTAGAGAAATCAGCTGATAGCCTTATAGGGGGTTCCCTTGTAATTAACTTCTTTTCTTGCTGCCTTTAGAATCCTCTCTTTAATCTTTAACTTCTTCCAATTTTATTATAATATGTCTTGGTGTAGGACTGTTTGGGTTCATCTTGTTTGGGACCCTCTGTGCTTCCTGTATCTGGATATCTGTTTCCTTCTTTAGGTTTGAGAAGTTTTCAGCCATAATTTCTTCAAATACATTTTTAATCCCCCTTTCTCTTTCTTCTCTTTCTGAAATCCCTATTATGCATAGACTGGCAAGCTTTATATTTTTTTACATTATATTGGTCATATTTATTATATTATTCCATAGGTCTCTTATATTGCTTTCATTTTTTTTCATTTGGCTGTCTCCTGTTCTGATTGGGTAATTTCCATCACTGTATTCTATCTTGCAGATCACTTATTCTTTCTTCTGCATTATGTACAGTAAGTCCCCTACATACAAATGAGTTCTGTTCCAAGAGTGCATTCATTAAGTCTCATTTGTTCATAAGTCCAACAAAGTTAGCCTAGGTACCCAACTAACACAATCAGCTATATAGTACTGTACTATAATAGGTTTATAATACTTTTCAAATAATACATAATAATGTATTTACAACTAATACATAAAAAACACAAAAATAAAACATTTTTAATCTTACAGTACAGTACCTTGAGAAGTACAGTAGTACAGTACAAGAGCTGGCATACAGGGGCTGGTGTTGAGTTAACAGGCAACAAGAGTTACTGACTGGAGGAGGGAGAGGATGTGGGAGATGGTAGGATCATCAGCAATAGGAGACAGAGGGCAAGCTGCAATTTCACTCACGCCTGACGTTGATGGAACGCGTGTTCACATCTTGGAAAGTTCGCAACTTGAAGGTTCGTACGTAGGGGACTTAATGTATTCATCCTGCTATTCATTGCCTTGAGCTCAGCTTCTGTCTTGGCAAATGAATTTTCTAATTTTTCTTGGCTCCACCTTAATTTCGAGTTCCTTTTTACAGTAATCTCCATTTCTGTTGATAGCCTTTCTTAATTCCTTCAGTATTTTCATTACCTCCTTTTTGAACTCGGTGTCTATTAGACGGAAGAGGTCTGTTTCATTGTTTGTCCCTTCAGGGGAATTCTCTTGGTCTTTTAAGTGGGAGTGGTTTCTCTGCTTCTTCATTTTGCTTATCCTATATTTCTTACTCTGTTAGTTGAGAAGAAACAATTATCTACTGTAATCTTGGAGGTCTGTTTATAAGCAGGAGTGTTCCTGTGTGGCTTGTGTGGGTTTAATATTTTTTTGGTGTGAGAGCTGCTTTTAGTTTGGGTGTCTTTTTCCTTACCGTGTGCTGGCCATTATCCCCTTGACAGGGGGTGTGCAGGTGCGTGGCCCGTGCAAGCTCCTGGGAAGGCAGGGACAGCAGTTGGTGCCCAGTCATAGGACTCTCGGTGGTAGAGGACATGGACATTTTAGATGTACCATTCCTCCTATGGCAGATACTAAAATCCAAAAGGCTGTCTTACAAGAAAATGTTAAATGGGGATATTTTCTGCTGAGTATGTCTATCCATAGTTTGTTTTTGAAAACTCAGATGCTCTTATTAAAAATGATTCTGAGGGATTTCCCCAGTGGTCCAGTGGTTGGGACTTCGCCTTTCAGTGCAGGGGGTGTGGGTTTGATCCCTGGCTGGGGAGCTGGGATCCCACATTCCTCATGGCCAAAAAGCCAAAACACGGAACAGACGCAATATTGTAACAAATTCAATAGAGACTTCGAAAATGGTCCACATCAAAAAAGTCTTAAAAAAAAAAGATTCTGAAATTCAGGTTAAATAAGACAACTGTATGACTGTGGATTTGTACTAAGTAAGGCTTGGAACACTGAAAGCTATTCTTCCTACGTTATGCATCTATTCATTTGCTAAAGGCTGTTAAAGTACCACAGACTGGGTGGCTTAAATTTTTTTTTTTTTAATTCTGGAGGCTAGAAGTTCAAGATCGAGGTATTATAGAATTTTCTTCTTAGGCCTCTCTCCTTGGCTTGTAGATGGCTGTCGGCCCCCTGTGCCTTCCCAGGATCTTCCTGTGTATGTCCTAATTTCATATAAGAGCACCAGGCCTATTGGACTAGGGCCCACCCTGGTGACCTTCTTCAACCTTAATTAGCTCATCTAAAAATACAGTCATAGTCTGAGGTACTGAGGGGACAGGACTCAACATGAATTCCAGGGGCACAATTCCACCCATAACAGTATCTAACAAATGTAATAATTAACCTGTAAAAGACTCTACATTCATAGAAGACCATTGATAGAGTGGGGTGGTCGGGAACAACTTGTGTCCACGTGGTCATTGACATAACTCGGATGTAGAAATTTTCTAAAAAAATGGTGATTTATTTTGCTTTAACATACAATGGTAAATATATTGGGATCATCAAGTTTTAAAATTTGCTGGTCCTACTTTACACATTGTAACACTAATGTAAGCTCATTAGTTCTTCCATCTGTAGGAAAGGGATCCAATAAACACCTACCAGCAGCTTGGCTAAAAATGGACATTAAAATAAGAGACCACATTGTAAAGATAAAGTACTTTTCTCCAAATGTGTATAAAAGTTTTGAAACAATCACTGCCTGCTCCACAGGACAATTTGGATTTTAAAAATGTTCCAGACCAGGAATAGCATAACCCTGTGTAACAATACTTATAATAGTTTAAACAATATTTTATCAAAGGCTTTTGCACTTGACATTTGAGAGAGAAACAGTAGCCAAGGAACTGCGTAACCAAAAAATGAAAATTATATAAAATATTTCCACCACTATTTAAATGCCAGATTTAATCAAGCAATAGTAAAAAATATCAAAACAAAAAACATAATAATACAACCTTCTGTTTAAAATAATAGCACTGTTCTGCCTCTTTTCCACTGAATTTTACATATGAACAGACTATATATACTGTTTTTTCAGAGAAATGTCCATTTGGTCTGTCACACAAGTCAGGCTCACACTGAATCCTTTCGCTTCTGAGGATATACAATTCCATGATGTTTCCATATTTCCAACATTCTGGGTCAAGTGTCATGTCTGAAGTATAATACATTTCTCTTTCTCCTTTACACAGTGCAGAGTATACAGGCTTAGGTTATGTAGCTTCACTTTTACTCCAGGTCACTGTCTTTTTCTAAATTCAAGACGGTATTCAATGGAGTGCAGTAGTTTGGCTTGTCGGAAGGTACGAAGCCGGGCAGACACACACACTTATAGGAACCTTCGGTGTTGATACACTTGGCATTCTTGCAGAGAGACATCCGGTTGTTCAACTCATCACATTCGTTGACATCTGCAATAAGCCAAACCACCACGCAGGTTAGCAAGCTTCAACATTGCTCTGGGAGGAAATGCAATCTACACCCTACCTGAGGCATCCGGCCTGAACACAGCCTGGCTGTTCTGTGCTCTCCCCCCAGTAAACTGCATAGTCTTTCCCATTATTGTCTGTTTCAATTACATGCAAGAGAAATACTACTTTCTAGATCTTAAAAAGGTGATTATCCAGGAGGTTCTAGAATTTCTTTCCCTGTTTGGGACCATTTTGTCAGCTTGACTTTTTATAGTCAAACCTTAAGAAAGCTACTTCTAAATTCCTCTCTGCACATGCCGAAGAACTGTTAGGTTGTCAAGAGAAATAAAGAGAGCCTCTGAGCAGCCTCTCTAAAGGTTTAAGTTACTTTCTTAGATTTCTTTCCACAGGAAAGAAAGGCTCTAAGCACTTGAACCACCTTTAATAACCCAGGTTACCTTTTTTCTAGACCCACCTCAGATTGAGACTAACAAAATTGAAGTGGGGAAACTATACGACGGAGCAAAACAGCCACAAAAATAGAGGAAAAAAATGCTGCAAGTCAAGGGTCATTTAGCAAGGAGGCCAACAGGCTCAGGAACACAGCCTCAATCACGCGGTAAGGATAAACATATTTTTACTGTTCTCTTAAAAGTAAGAGGGAAGGCAACGTGAGAGTTATGAAAAGAACTTTCTCTAAAATGGAAGTTGTATTTTCTTTTTCATCTATATTCCCCTCTTGCTGGTGTCAGGTATTCAGGGAAAACATTTGCTGCAGAGTCAAAAGCTCAATTTAAAAGAGTCAAACTAATTACCCCAAACTTTCTGGCCTTTCCTCCATAGGTATGTACCATTTATATGAATTCTTAAATATCAACTTTTAAAAAATTTGTGGTAAAATATATGGAACATAAAATTGACCATTTTAACCATTTTTGAGTGGAGAGTCCAGTGGCATTAAATACCTTCACATTTTTGTGTAATCGTCACCACTGTCCATCTCCAGAACTTCTCTTATCTTCCCAAACTGAAACTCTGCAAATCTTAAATGTACTAGATTGTCTGAGGTCCAGCCACAGGGCATTCAGGAAAAGAGTAATTTCCCATCAAATACATATGATTCTTACCAACACAGGTCATCTTGGCCATATCCAAGTGATACCCATCAAAGCAATCGCAGGTGTAACCTTCCTGCACCCTGACACAGCGCCCGTTTTCACAGCCGTTGAGGATGCCACATTCTTCAGCCTGCAACTCCTCAAAGCTATTTAGAAAACCTGGAAGGGAAAGGACAGGAGGCAAGTTAGAAATTTTCAACCTCTTACACCGTTTTTTAAAATGACATGATCATTCAGGTTATGGTTCATCATACGTACATATTTCCAATTCCTTAAAGATAGCATTAAAATTTAAGTGAATATATCTGTACACGATATTAAGCAAACTATTACCAACCTTGTGTAGGTTGTACAGATTAGCCCCACATCTTGAATTCTGATGTTCTACATTAAAATCACATAAAACGATACAGCAAGTAGGGTATTTTTTTGCCCTTAATTATTAAAATTTTTTGTCTAAGATTTTAAATTTCCTGAGTTCTCAGTAGGGTAAATGTCAGAACATCTTTCAGGATAGAACCGATGGAACTCACTATGAGAGTAGACGTTTGCTAAGATGCACAAGCATTGGAGGCAGTGCTCTTTCATGGGGAGTTCCCAGGAGCAGAGAAAAGCCAGGCTGGCCTTGCCATGTGAGGTCTGTTTGCTCTGGCTTTGGAATGAGCCTTACAAAAGGGCTCTTGGGGGATCAAAGGATAAAGGCAGTAAAAGGGACTCACAACATCCTGATAAACGAGAAATACATCATATTTCTGTTTAGAAAACCAAAATTCTTTTAAAGAAAACAAAGAAGCTCTTGTTTGGCTTTTTTTAAAGATATCTTTAAACTGATTTGGAGCTAGAGTTTAGTAGTACAAAAACAATGTAGCCAGGCATCAAGAATATTTTCCTCTGTTTCTAGAGAGGAAAGTTGTTGTAAATATAAATCCACGATGACCCAAACACACTGTTGATGTGTGGGGGGGGTCTCATCCTCTCCCCCACCTTCTGAAGGCACCATGTATTTGCCTTTTTTTAATATAAATTTATTTATTTTTGGCTGTGTTGGGTCTTCGTTGCTGTGCAAGGTTTTCTGTAGTTTTCTGTAGCGAGTTGGGGCTACTCTTCGTTGCAGTGTGTGGGCTTCTCATTGCAGTGGCTTCTCTCGTTGCAGAGCACGGGCTCTAGCGCAGGCTTCAGCAGTTGTGGCTCATGGGCTCTAGAGCACAGGCTCAGTCACTGTGGTGCACGGGCTTAGTTGCACCGCAGCATGTGGGATCTTCCTGGACCAGGGCTCAAACCTGGCTCAAACCTGTGTCCCTTGCAGTCGCAGGCAGATTCTTAACCACTGCACCACCAGGGAAGCCCCACGTATTAGCTTTTTTTTTTTTTTTTTTTTCTGTGGTATGTGGGCCTCTCACTGTCGTGGCCTCTCCCGTTGTGGAGCACAGGCTCCGGACGAGCAGGCTCAACGGCCATGGCTCACGGGCCCAGCCGCTCCACGGCATGTGGGATCCTCCCAGACCGGGGCACGAACCCGTATCCCCTGCATCGGCAGGCGGACTCTCAACCACTGCGCCACCAGGGAAGCCCCACGTATTAGCTTTTAAGGGAAAAAAAAAAAATCAACCTAGGGTCAGAACTCTACATCTTGCCTTTGAGGTAATTCTCCAGTCGAACTGCAGGGGGCAGCAAAATATCATTTCTTATGCAGGGCAGTAAGGGCTAACAATGATTTTAAAAATTAATACGTCTAAAAAGGAAAAAAAAATACGACTGGGCATCAAGACTGTCAGCAGATCCTGAAGCCAGTTTGAGAAATATTGACAAGAAAGTCAACCTATGGAAATATTTCAAAGTCCAGGTAACACAGCAAAGTCCATTTTAACTAGTAAAATTATGTTTATTACAGAAGTTAAATCACGAAATTAAAATTTGAGACTCCTACACACACATTAAGCAGACTCCCCAAAATACTTCTACAGGACTCTAAAACAACAGCAAAGGACAGCCCGTGCTCTAAAGTGGGACTGCTACCTATTTTTATAAATGACGTTTACTGGAACACAGCCTCACCTATTTGCTAATATATGTCTGTGGCTGCTTTCCTGATTCCAGAGCACAGTTGAGTAGCTACAAAAGAGACTATATAGCCTGAAAAGCCTACAAATTTTACTATCTGGCCATTTATAGAAAAAGTTGATCTCTGCTCTAGAAAATTCCAGTTTTAGAAATACTGCTCTAACTAAAGGTGACACCAGTCATTAGCCCAACTTTCTTCAACAGAGAGGCGCAAGATGATGAATAATAAAGGTGGTGTGATTCAGCCTCTCTTTTACTATCTTACCCCATACGATTTTATGTCTTCAGTAGGGCCAGAGAGCCTCTGATCCTGGTCTAGGAAGGAGGAGCTATTTCTCTGCAGCTTGTAAGAAATTCAAAGGCCCTTACATAGTCAAAGCTGGGGGTGTTCGAACTGCATCTGCAACTTCCTATGTTGCTAAACAGGAAATTAACCTGATACCAACATGCTTATTTAACATTTGTAGTGAATTTTAAAAGTTTTAAAGCAATGACAGCTTAAAAAAAAAACAACTACATAAGCCAGGACATTTCAACATTAAAATTCCTGGCATCTGAACTATAATGCATTAGAGGCTGCACACACAAGCCATGAGATTGTGTCAGAGTTACATGTAGATTTACCCTGGTATTTTGGATTTATGGGGCAGGCAAACTGTACTTTCATGCAAGTTTAATATTTCTTCTCCCTTTTTTTAAAGTAAGTGTTTCCTGACCTATAAATATATACACAGAAGTGTAGAAATCATAAGCGCTCAGGCTTACAGCTGTCAATGTATTTAAGCACATTTCTTGAAGTAGTGCATGATTATTTGTGGTTTGATTAAAAGAAAACCTAAGGCAGGGTCCCCACCCCCTGGGCTACGGACCGGTACTGGTCCATGGCCTGTTAGGAACTGGGCCGCACAGCCGGAGGTGAGCGGTGGGCAAGTGAGTGAAGCTTCATCTGCTGCTGCCCATTGCTCGCATTACTGCCTGAGCTCCACCTCCTGTTAGCATTATGGTGAGTTGTATAACTGTTTCATTATATATTACAATGTAATAATAAAGTGCACAATGAATGTAATGAGCTTGAATCATCCTGCAACCACCCCACCTCCACATCTGTGGAAAAACTGTCCACAAAACTGGTCCCTGGTGCCAAAAAGGTTGGGGAACCACTAACCTAAGGTGTTAGAAGTTAGGATGGTGGTTACCCTGAGGGGGTGGGAGGGCGGCTGGGAAAAGGGAACCAGGGGTCCTTCTGGATGCTGGCAATGCTCTAGATCCACTTAGGTCTAGAAGACCCAACCCAGCTGATTTAATAGAATGCTGTTTTCATGTAAATTTTAAAGCAGTTTTAATTTGGCTGAAGGATCAATATACTGCATACTTTAAAAAACAAAAGGAGGGAAGGGAAAGAGGAAAGGAGGAAAACACTCTTTGGCAGAACTCAAGTAGACCCAGAGGCAGCCACA